AGTAGTAAGGGAGAAAAAGTTAGATATGAGAAGTTTTTACAAGTAGAAGTGATGCAAGGAGGGAAGATTATATGGAGAAAAAGAGAGAAGTTAAGAGAGTGGTGAAGCAATGTAAAAAGAGAGCAAATGAGAGAGTGGGTGAGATGTTATCAACAATTTTTGGAAAAAAAAAAAAAGTTTTGGAGTGAGATTAACAAGTTAAGAAACCCTAGAGAAAAAATTGGATTTGTCAGTTAAAAATAGGAAAGGAGAGTTATTAAATGGAGAGTTAGGGGTATTGGGAAGTGGAAGGAAAAATTTTGAGGAATTGTTAAATGTTGATGAAGAAGGGAAGCTGTGATTTCGTGTATAGGGAAAAGGAGGAATAACATCTTGTAGGATGTGAGGAAGAGCCAGTTGTGTGTGTGGGGGAAGTTCGTGAGGCAGTGGGTTTAAAATGAAGGGGGTAAGGCAGCCGGGATTGATGGGATAAAGATAGAAATGTTAAAAGCAGGTGGGGATATAGTTTTTGGATGGTTGGTTGAAATTTATTTATAATGTATGGAAGAGGGTAAGGTACCTAGGGATTGGCAGAGAGCATGCATAGTTCCTTTGTATAAAGGCAAAGGGGATAAAAGAGAGTGAAAAAATTTATAGGGGATAAGTCGTTGATTTGTACTGGTAAAGTGTATGGTAGAGTTATAATTAAAAGAATTAAGAGTAAGACGGGAAAAGGAATAGCAGATGAACAAGGGGGCTTAGGAAAGGTGGGTGTTGTGGCCCAGGTGTTTACAGTGAAACATATAAGTGAACAGTATTTAGATAAGGCTAAAGAGGTCTTTGTGGCATTTATGGATTTGGAAAAAGGCGTTATGAAAAGGGTGGATAGGGGGGCAATGGGGGCAGATGTTGCAAGTGTATGGTGTAGGAGGTGGGTTACTGAAAGCAGTGAAGAGTTTTACGAGGATAGTGAGGCTCAAGTTAGAGTATGTAGGAAAGAGGGAAATTTTTTCCCAGTAAAAGTAGGCCTTAGACAGGATGTGTGATGTCACCGTGGTTGTTTAATATTTTTTATAGTGGGGTTGTAAGGAAGAAAATGCGAGGGTTTTGGCAAGAGGCCCGTGGAGTTAAAAGATAAAGAATCACACAAAAGTGGGAGTTGTCACAGTGCTCTTTGCTGATGACCACTGTGCTCTTGGGAGATTCTGAAGAGAAGTTGCAGAGTTTGGTGGTTGAATTTGGTAGGGTGTGCAAAAAAAGGGAAAATTAAAGGTGAATACAGGAAAGAGTAAGGTTATGAGGATAACAAAAGATTAGGTGATGAAAGATTGAATATCAGATTGGGGGGAAAAGGGGTATGGAGGGGTGAACGTATTCAGATATTTGGGAGTGGACGTGTCAGCGGATGGGTTATGAAAGAGAGGTGAATCTTTGAATTGATGAGGGAAAAAGAGTGAGTGGTGCACTTAGGAGTCTGTGGAGACAAAGAACTTTGTCCTTGGAGGCAAGAGGGGAATGTATGAGAGTATAGTTTTCCCAACGCTCTTATATGGGTGTGAAGCGTGGGTGATGAATGTTGCAGCGGAGGGGAAGGCTGGAGGCAGTGGAGATGTCATGTTGAGGGCAATGTGTGGTGTGAATATAATTGCAGAGAATTCGTAGTTTGGAAGTTAGGGGAGGTGCGGGATTACCAAAAACTGTTGTCCAGAGGGCTGAGGAAGGGTTGTTGAGGTGGTTCGGACATGTAGAGAGAATGGAGCGAAACAGAATGACTTCAAGAGTGTATCAGTCTGTAGTGGAAGAAGGGGGGGGTAGGGGTCGGCCCAGGAAGGGGTTTGGGGGGAGGGGGTAAAAGGGGGTTTTGTGTTTCGAGGGGCTTGGACTTCCAGAGGCATGCGTGAGCGTGTTTGATAGGAGTGAATGGAGACAAATGGTTTTTAATACTTGACGTGCTGTTGGAGTGTGAGCAAAGTAACATTTATGAAGGGATTCAGGGAAACCGGCAGGCCGGGCTTGAGTCCTGGAGATGGGAAGTACAGTGCCTGCACTTGAAAGGGGGGGTGTTAATGTTGCAGTTTAAAAACTGTAGTGTAAAGCACCCTTCTGGCAAGACAGTGATGGAGTGAATGATGGTGAAAGTTTTTCTTTTTCGGGCCACCCTGCCTTGGTGGGAATCGGCCGGTGTGATAATAAAAAAAAAAAAAAAAATATCAATAATCTGATATTTAAGAGTTTTATCTTGATGGTAAAATGTTGCACGAAGACCTTGACAAATAAAAAAAAAATAATCACAAAATTATATTTTTATTGCATTTACAACACTTCCCTCAGTACTATTAACTCACTATTAACCCTTTGACTGTTTCAGGCCCCTCTCTGAAACTGTCATTCTATGTCGCTCAATTTTTGAAAAAAAAAAAAAAATATTTTTTCTTATGAAATGATAGAGAATCTTTTCCCGATGGTAATGACACCAAAAGTTCGAAATTTGGTCGAAAACTCGGGAATTATGCTCCCACGAAGTTAGCGGTCTCGGCGACATATGGTATCGGCGATTCGCCGACTTTGAGCCCCAATTTTCAGCCAAATTTCCAAATTTTTCCAGTTGACCAAATCATAGCTATTTCTTTAGAACTCCCTTTTTTCTATCAGCTGAGTACAAGAAACCTCCATTTACTAATTTTGGGCTACCCCAAAATGGTGGGTCAGAAATTGGCAATTTGGCCAATTTTTACGCAAAATAAAAAGATGCCAATTTCAAAATAGGTCCAGAATAAACAAGGTAGACATTCGTGGCACTAAAAAAAACATATGCTCTGGTCATTAGTCACATCTCTAGGCCCCTCTTTATTATTAAATTTCTTTCTATTTTGATTTTTTATTCATACAAAAAAAAAACAAAATTTACTGTTATGCAGACGACTGCATTATTGTAAAAATGGTATAAATAATATCAGTGCACTAGTGAAAGAATATTAGGATCCCCAGTTGACGTGTATTGGACGTGTGGTGTGGGTTTATTTACTCTTGAACATTGGTTAAAAAACGAACTTTCCGCTACTTTGAGCTATTTCAAGGTCGTTTTCATCGTAAAAGTTTAAAGAAAATCATCTCTATTTCTGTAAAATGTTTTCCTTTTTATCACCTAAGACCATGAAAACGCGAATACAACGATAAATACTATACGAAAATACACCTCAAAGTCGGCGTTTTATTCCAAAAAAACGATCAGTTTTTTTTTTCTCATTACGCAATGTGTGCTGCAGGATTTTTTTTATGTGGTGCACACTGACCACACAGACCCATTCTCTCACATGTGGGCCTACCAGCTTTCTCCCACTTGATTTGAAGCCGCTAGAATTATTGAGTATATATACGTCAGAAACATTGCCTCGTAAGACGTATTTATACGTCGAAAACAGTCAAAGGGTTAAAATGTCTGGGTGGTTAGCTAATTGAGCAAAAATTTACATCTGAAAACTCTGACGCCGTATTTGGATTTTAAGAACACTGATTTGTCTTGGTTACTCGATTTGAGTACAAGCGTCTAGGCAACATTTTTCAAGAAATATTCAGTTTAATCAACATTTTTTCAAGTTTAAACTTACCAATGAGCTATTTTGTGAATAACCTAGAGTAGTATAATAAAGACTCGTCAATGCGCAATAATGACCCACATGGAGATTGGTTGATCTATATATTTCGACCCTCTTTTGGGAGGCTTTTCAGCAGATCTGCTGAAGGGGACCCCAGAAGGGAGTCGAAATATATAGATCACTCAGTCTCCTGAGTTTGTCTCCATGTAGGTTATTAAGCAAGCTATTCTATATTTAAAGTATCTTACCTATAACTTAACAATAAACAGGTAATATCACAATAGGCAAAACAGCCACTCTGGGGAAAAAAAAAAAAAGTCTGAATTTACAAGCACTTTCATTTCTTGCAAGCTTCTTTATTTTGAGTGTGTGTATATTGAGTTACATCAAAATATTTGCTTGTGTCTTGCTTACGAGTGCTTTTACAATCTTCGAAGTTACACCTTGTGTCCTGGTTAGAAAACAATGCACTTCAGTGTTTATGAAGGACTTCTACATAGGCTAGTCTCATTTTGGACTTCTTTAATGGTAGTGTTTAGTGCTGGCATTATGGCTTTTCCCCATGGGGAAGGGGAAAAGAACCTTCCTTCGTAAGCATGCATGTCCGTTAGAGGGTGACTAAAATGCAGGAGCAAGGGCTATTTTAGCCCTTTTCCTGTATAAATTACTAAATGTGAAGAAAAGCATTAAAAGGTTTTCTTCCTTTTTGAGTACACTGCCTTGGTGGGAGACAACCACTCATACTAATTTTTGTTATATGTTGATTGCTTGTAACTGGTAATGAAAGCAAATCTGCTAAAAAAAAAAATATATATATTTTATATTATAGAAAAAATGGATTAAAGGGTTTTTTTTAGGACTTGACGTGCTGTTGGAGTGGGAGCAGGATAATATTTATGAAGGGATTCAGGGAAACCGGCAGGCCGGACTTGAGTTCTGGAGATGGGAAGTACAGTGCCGGCACTCTGAAGGAGGGGTGTTAATGTTGCAGTTTTATAATTGTAGTGTAAGTGCGCCTCTGGCAGGACAGTGAGGGGAGTGATGGATGGTGAAAGTGTTTCTTTTTCAGGCCACGCTGCCTGGGAAATGGCTGATGTGTTAATAAAATTAAAGAAAAACGTTTACCTTATGTGGTTGATCAAGCCTTGATCTACTGTGAGACCTGGTCATGGAATGGGCCACGGGGACATTGCCCCCCAAACCCCCTCCAGGTGTACAGGGCATTTCAAAAGGGGAGGATCCAATTCATTGATAGTTGAATTTCAAATTGGGATTATCTTTTTGAAACACCCTGTACTCCAGGTAAGAGGAGAGTTGGATAATCTTTGAATTAGTTCAAACTAAGCTGCTGTAATATTTGTAAACCTTTACCACTGTAAATAATATCCCTTTGTATCCTTACATAATGTCATTTTTGTATTTCAGGTGTGCAAAAAGGCCTTTGCCAATATCCATGGGATATCAGATAAGAAAATCCGAACTCTTTGTATCAAACATGAACAAAACATCTTATTCCCGAGAGACAATCGAGGAAGACATCGGAATCGACCCAAAAAGGTTTTTACTCACGTTTCTTGTGCAGCCACACCCCTACATACGAACATTAGTGTTGCAAACTTTCGATAATACGAACACCGTCTGTTTTATTAAATTTACGTTATCTCGCCATTTGTTTTATTAAATTTACATCTACAAACTTTTAAAAACATTTTAAACTGTTTCATTTATAACATTTGGAACAAGATATGCATTTTAAGTTAGAAAAACAGATATGCAACATGTTTATTGGTGTATTTTTCCAAGATTTTTGTTGCATTTACCATAGCATACCTCTGTTATTTTTTTTTTTTTTTTTTAATTTTTCAGGTAACCCCTGAGTTAGTAACTCTGATCAAGCACCACATACTAAAAATGCTGTCGGGGCCCAATGGTAGTGATTACATCAAGACTGACAAGAATCAAGGTCCTGATGTCAATATATCTAAACTTCATAAGAGCTTCCTTCAGCAGTATGAACCTGAAGCCATCGATCCAGAGACTGGTGAGTGTTGTTCTGGTACTGGTACTGTACGTGAAGCTATCAGTGTTCAGACCGGTAAGTGTTGTGACTGGTACTGTACGTGAAGCTATCAGTGCTCAGACTGGCGAGTGTTGTTATTAACTGGTACTGAACCTGAGGTCATTGATCCTGAGACTGGAACACAAGAAAGGAGGAGCACTACTGGTACCTGTTAGGCAGGTCCATGGTAAGGCAGCCATTCCAAGAAAAGGAAGGAGGGAGGGGTGCCTTAATGATGGGCTCTTGATCATAGGCAATGGAGCCACCCTGCCCTTTCTCCAATCAAACCTGATTGCTTCCCCATTATTATATTGCTTCTCAGATTTTCAGAGAATCATATGTTGCAGTAAGTTGTACACCATGAAATATATTGTTCAGTATTGGTAGTAGGTTGGTAGACAGCAACCACCCAGGGAAGTACTACCGTCCTGCCAGATGACTGTGAAACAGAAACCTGTAACTGTTTTGCATGATGGTAGGATTGCTGGTTTCTTTTTCTGTCTCATAAACACGCTAGATAACAGGGATATCTTGCTACTCCTACTTACACTTTGGTCACACTTCACAGACACGCACATGCATATATATATATACATACATCTAGGTTTTTCTCCTTTTTCTAAATTAGCTCTTGGTCTTCTTTATTTCTTCTATTGTCCATGGGGAAGTGGAAAAGAATCTTTCCTCCGTAATCAAAGCGTGTCGTATGAGGCGACTAAAATGCCGGGGAGCAATGGGCTAGTAACCCCTTCTCCTGTAAACACTTACTAAAAAAGAGAAGAAGAAAAACTTTATAAAACTGGGATGCTTAAATGTGCGTGGATGTAGTTGCGGATGACAAGAAACAGATGATTGCTGGGTGTTATGAATGAAAGAAGTTGGATGTCCTTGGCCCTAAGCGAAACAGAGCTGAAGGGGGTAGGAGAGTTTCAGTGGGGGGAAATAAATGGGATTAAATCTGGAGTATCTGAGAGTTAGAGCAAAGGAAGGGGTAGCAGTAATGTTAAATGATCAGTTATGGAAGGAGAAGAGAGAATATGAATGTGTAAATTCAAGAATTATGTGGATTAAAGTAAAGGTTGGATGCGAGAAGTGGGTCATAATAAGCGTGTAGCACTGGAGAAGAGAGGAATGCAGAGGAGAGAGAGAGATTTTGGGAGATGTTAAGTGAATGTATAGGAGCCTTTGAACCAAGTGAGAGAGAATTGTGGTAGGGGACCTGAATGCTAAAGTAGGAGAAACTTTTAGAGAGGGTGTGGTAGGTAAATTTGGGGTCCCAGGTGTAAATGATAATGGGGCCCTTTGATTGAAAATTTGTATAGAAAGGGGTTTAGTTATAGGTAATACATATTTAAGAAAAAGAGGGAAATAAAATATACAAGATATGATGTAAGGCGAAATGACAGTAGTTTGTTGGATTATGTATTGGTAGATAAAGACTGTTGAGTAGACTTCAGGATGTACATGTTTATAGAGGGGCCACAGATATATCAGATCACTTTCTAGTTGTAGCTACACAAGTAAAAGGTGATGGGATACAAGGAGGGAAAAGAAGCATCAGGGAAGGAGAGGTGAAGGTTTATAAACTAAAAGAGGAGGCAGTTAGGGTAAGATATAAACAGCTATTGGAGGATAGATGGGCTTAATGAGAGCATAGGCAATGGGGTCGAAGAGGTATGGGGTAGGTTTAAAAATGTAGTGTTAGAGTGTTCAGCAGAAGTTTGTGGTTTCAGAAAAGTGGGGTGCGGGAGGGAAGAGGAGCGATTGGTGGAATGATGATGTAAAGGAGTTGTAAGGGAGAAAAAAGTAGCATATGAGAAGTTTTTACAAAGTAGAAGTGATGCAAGGAGGGGAAAAGTATATGGAGAAAAAGAGAGGTTAAGAGAGTGGTGAAGCAATGTAAAAAAAAGAGCAATGAGAGAGTGGGTGAGATGTTATCAACAAATTTTGTTGAAAATAAGAAAAAGTTTTGGAGTGAGATTAACAAGTTATGAAAGCCTAGAGAACAAATGGATTTGTCAGTTAAAAATAGGAGAGGAGAGTTATTAAATGGAGAGTTAGAGGTATTGGGAAGATGGAGGGAATATTTTGAGGAATTGTTAAATGTTGATGAAGATAGGGAAGCTGTGATTTCGTGTATAGGACAAGGAGGAATAACATCTTGCAGGAGTGAGGAAGAGCCAGTTGTGAGTGTGGGGGAAGTTCGTGAGGCAGTAGGTAAAATGAAAGGGGGTAAGGCAGCCGGGATTGATGGGATAAAGATAGAAATGTTTAAAAGCAGGTGGGGATATAGTTTTGGAGTGGTTGGTGCAATTATTTAATAAATGTATGGAAGAGGGTAAGGTACCTAGGGATTGGCAGAGAGCATGCATAGTTCCTTTGTATAAAGGCAAAGGGGATAAAAGAGAGTGCAAAAATTATAGGGGGATAAGTCTGCTGAGTATACCTGGTAAAGTGTATGGTAGAGTTATTATTGAAAGAATTAAGAGTAAGACGGAGAATAGGATAGCAGATGAACAAGGAGGCTTTAGGAAAGGTGGGGGGTGTGTGGACCAGGTGTTTACAGTGAAACATATAAGTGAACAGTATTTAGATAAGGCTAAAGAGGTCTTTGTGGCTTTTATGGATTGGAAAAGGCGTATGACAGGGTGGATAGGGGGGCAATGTGGCAGATGTTGCAAGTGTTATGGTGTAGGAGGTAGGTTACTGAAAGAGTGAAGAGTTTTTTTACGAGGATAGTGAGGCTCAAGTTAGAGTATGTAGGAAAGAGGGAAATTATTTCCCAGTAAAAGTAGGCCTTAGACAAGGATGTGTGATGTCACCGTGGTTGTTTAATATATTTATAGATGGGGTTGTAAGAGAAGTAAATGCGAGGGTCTTGACAAGAGGCGTGGAGTTAAAAGATAAAGAATCACACACAAAGTGGGAGTTGTCACAGCTGCTCTTTGCTGATGACACTGTGCTCTTGGGAGATTCTGAAGAGAAGTTGCAGAGATTGGTGGATGAATTTGGTACAGTGTGCAAAAGAAGAAAATTAAAGGTGAATACAGGAAAGAGTAAGGTTTGAGGATAACAAAAAGATTAGGTGATGAAAGATTGAATATCAGATTGGAGGGAGAGAGTTGGAGGAGGTGAATGTATTCAGATATTTGGGAGTGGACGTGTCAGCGGATGGGTCTATGAAAGATGAGGTGAATCATAGAATTGATGAGGGAAAAAGAGTGAGTGGTGCACTTAGGAGTCTGTGGAGACAAAGAACTTTGTCCTTGGAGGAAAAGGGAGGGGAATGTATGAGAGTATAGTTTTACCAACGCTCTTATATGGGTGTGAAGCATGGGTGATGAATGTTGCAGCGAGGAGAAGGCTGGAGGCAGTGGAGATGTCATGTCTGAGGGCAATGTGTGGTGTGAATAAAATGCAGAGAATTCGTAGTTTGGAAGTTAGGAGGAGGTGGGGGATTACCAAAAACTGTTGTCCAGAGGGCTGAGGAAGGGTTGTTGAGGTGGTTCGGACATGTAGAGAGAATGGAGCGAAACAGAATGACTTCAAGAGTGTATCAGTCTGTAGTGGAAGGAAGGCGGGGTAGGGGTCGGCTAGGAAAGGTTGGAGAGAGGGGGTAAAGGAGGTTTTGTGTGCGAGGGGCTTGGACTTCCAGCAGGTATGCATGAGCGTGTTTGATAGGATTGAATGGAGACAAATGGTTTTTAATACTTGACGTGCTGTTGGAGTGTGAGCAAAGTAACATTTATGAAGGGGTTCAGGGAAACCGGCAGGCCGGACTTGAGTCCTGGAGATGGGAAGTACAGTGCCTGCACTCTGAAGGAGGGGTGTTAATGTTGCAGTTTAAAAACTGTAGTGTAAAGCACCCTTCTGGCAAGACAGTGATGGAGTGAATGATGGTGAAAGTTTTTCTTTTTCGGGCCACCCTGCCTTGGTGGGAATCGGCCAGTGTGATAATAATAATAATAACAAATACAGTGAGTCCTCAACTTGCAAACACAATGGGACCTTCTGAATTGTGTATATTCATAAGGGAAGACCTCAACTTACGAACATGTTGGAAATCTTGATTTATGTATATTATATAATAATGATAGTGTACACGATAAAGATGATTCTTAATGTGTTTGCAAGTCAAGGACTTACTGTAGTCTATTAAAAAAAAAAATAAGTATTTTTTGTAATGTATAAAACCAGGATTAATCTTTTAACTAATTTTAATTTATTTTTTACAGATAAAGTCATCAAAGATTACGATGCCAAGGTGAAATCATGGTTATATTTTAAAGTATTCCACGAGGAGTTCAAGTCTATGGACTTCAACACAGTGAAGCGCAAACTGTCTGACCTGCGCAAGAGTTTAGAAGCTTCAGGAGCACTCCAAGCTACCAAAAAGAAGGCTAGCAAACAGTCGCGTCCACGACCACGTCCACATGAGAACCAGGTTGCTCGCAATGCCGCAACTAATGATGCCTCCACGTCTTCAGGTGTGGCGGTGTCAGCTGCACCCACCACACAGATGGGCGGTTACATGGGTAGTCAGCAACCGCCACCACTTCACCCTAATCTCCAGTTGAGCGTTCTTGGTCTTCAACACCTGGGAAATAACGCTCATGCTGGAGCCGCTTTTAATCCAGCGGCAGCTCAACAGCCACAGCAACAGCCTCTCAATCTCCAGACTGGTGGTAGCGGGGGTCAAGGTGGTGAGCAACCGCAGCCACAACCTCTCCCACTCAACCTACATTCCATGGGTGGACACGTGCCTTCGTACTACCTCTCTCTAGGCCACATGTCAAACCTTATATCTCTTCCTGTGTCATCTGGAGGAGGAGTACAAACAAATACTCAGACTGGCAACTTCCCTGCCCAGCATAACATGCAGCACTTTAACCCAGGCACCATTATACCCAGTCATTCCCTTTCACAAACTGCCCCCGGTCCAGGAGGACAACCGCACCTGCTTCAAGGTGGTGTAGGAGTTACGTACACTGGCCCACAACACAACCACACTATGTACTGACAATCTTAGCAGATAGTATATTCACAATTTTAATTAGTAATCCATTACTAATACCAAATGCGTGCGTGTGTAACGTTACATGTACAGTACTGTATTCATATTTGAATTTTGTCCAAATAAAACATCTAAAAAGAAATTTGGTGCTGACAATGGAAATGTTAGAGAGTCAAGAAGCATATTTTTGATCCTTAATCGACATGATACACTATACATTAGGTTCCTGACTTCTGATACTCTGTACTTACGATTGTGGCACTCGCAATAGTGGCACTCTGGAACCAGTTAATTATGAATGCTGATCTGCAGTTATAGTCATTACAGATATTCAAAAATTTTAAATATATATTTTCATTTTTTTACCAAATGCATCTATTTTATACACAAGTATGATTGAGGATTATAGATTTGTCTATTATGTTCTCAAGGCCATATTATAGATTTTTTTTCCTTGTTTAGTTTTTAACAAATGTATTCAATTAGTCTTCAAGGGGGGGGGATACCTTGCTAGAGTGAAGAGGCTCTTGATCTAAGGAATTAGAGCTTTTAGTCTTCTTTGGATTAAACCTAACTGACTCCTCCACTCCTTTCCCCACCCCATCTTTCCCTACATTAGGCCTTTGGGAATCTCTTCTCTGAAATTACATCTCCTGGGTCAAAGAAAGTGTGTCACTGTCCATCCCATTCCATCGAGGTCCTCTGTGGTGGTGTCTGCCGTGGAATCTGGATCAACTGGGGATTTGCTAATGTGCCCTGGAGTCTCAGAGGGTGGCTTAGGGGGTCCTTAAGGTGACGGATTCATCTCGAGGTTCCAGGAGGTGGCGACTAAAGGGTTTATGCCTTGCGGCATGCTTCCGACCACCCTCTCTACTGTCTGCCGAGGTGGCTCGGTGGATGAGAGATTGTTATCATGGATTGCTTTTAACCAGCACAAGGGTAGGGTTGGGCACAGGTTCCATGCTACATTTGCACTACCAGGCACACCAAGGGTCTTCTTTGAAGCAGAAGGGGATATATGGTCCCTTTTATCTCTCCTGGGAGCTCTCCCTCTACACCCAGTTTACTCTGACCCTTTTCTCCTCATATTCACTCTTGGCTTCTCTGCAATTTAACATACCAGCCATCTCCCCAAAAAATTCATTATACAGTCAGTAATTTATACAGAAGAAAGGGTTATGAGCCCCTTGTTTCCCTTCTCTACTCCTTTATATGTTCATCCCACATTGACTTTCCCCTTTGGAAAACTCCGACAATTCGTGCGTTCTTCCCCACTGCCATGTGTGAAGGCTTATTTACCTACTCTAGCTTCTCACTCACTTTTTCTTAACCCCTTCCAGTCTCACTCTCATGCATTCACAGTTGATGCTGCTGGTTCTAAATCCTCTGACAGTGTCAGGTTTGCAGCAGTTTTTCCATCTGACTCTGTCAGTGACAACTTTATTACACCAATTTTCATTATTTTTCCTTTACCATTTCCCATTACCCCTACTGACTACCTCTTGCATAATTCTAACCCTCTGATCTTCACATATTTCATCTTTATCACATCCTGCCACTGTAGTGCTATAAGACCCTTGTGGGTTTAGCATTGTTTTGATTGTAATAATAATCAATTCATACTTTGTGTGTAATCACGTACGTATTAAAGTTTTGCATGTGACATCACAGATCAGACTCGACGCTGAACATGAAACTACATTGACCACCACATACAGATGGTGCATACATGTAAATCTTATCTGATTTTTCTAAGACTGCACAATGGTGGTTGTTCGTGCTGTCAGGTGCAGCACTTGGCAAGTTGGTGTGTTAAATCAAAACATTTTACTGATTCCCGCTGTATAGTCCTTGTGGCTTAGCGCTTCTTTTTGATTATAATAATAATAATTTACTGATTCCCCCAAGGATTTTGAAAGGTGAAAAGTAAGGGATTGCTATAAACAGATAATCCACACATTTAAGAAAGAAACTCCCCTCAAGGAAGGCTCCTTGATGCTGGTGAGGGGCTCTTGATCTAGGGAATTGGATCTGTGTTCCAGTTCCCTGAATTAAGCCTGAATGCCTTCCATCCCCCCATAGGCGCTGTATAATCCTACGGGTTTAGTGCTTCCCCTTGATTATAATAATAATAATAAACCTTATGATGTTATGGTCCACTGACACGAAGGAGAAGGAGCCATTATATATATACAGCGTCTCCTCAGTTAGCAACGTACTCATTTACTGACGACTCGGACTTACGATGGGCACTCACCAGTATGCATACCTAAATAATGTATATTAGAGCTGATTTCTTCTATTCTGTTTATCACAATATACAGTACACTACTGTATAAACATTTAAAAATATACTAAAAATCTTATAAATGATGCAAAGGTGACATTAAAACAATATCGAAGGTATGGTTGCAGCAAACCAACCAATTAGTATTGCGTTGCTTAGGACCAATCTCGTTTACTGAGTGGTCTTTGGAGCAACCCGCTCCCTTAATCGTGTGCAGTGATGTATGTGGCTCTTACTAACTGTCCGCTAGATAGTCCTTTTGGCTTGCCCTATTTTGATTATAATAATAATCCCTTACTTCGGTTGAGTGTGACTTGTTAACCCCTTAAACTGCCAACGTGATCTAATGTCATGTGCTAGCGCTAATCGACCTTGATTTTCCCCATTTGAAGCATGTAAAAAACAACTATTACGTTCAGAGCCCCCACCTATTGACGTCAGATTGAACTTTGGACAGTTTAAGGATTAAGGGTCAAGTCCAGACTGAAATGTCTTCATAAGTTTCTTTCATTTGTGGGTGTTATTTGTGTTATGTTCCAGTCGTGGTATTGTGACTTTTCTGCCTTTTTGTTCTTTAATGGATTACTTCCACGAGGCAGTGATGAAAATGGTTTTGAAAACTGACGATTGAAGAATGAGACTTGTGCAGCATTTGGGAATCTTTATTGAGGAACCTGTCAGTCAGTGGCTTCTTCAGTCCATTACAGAGAACAGTGATAGATGAGGAGGGACTGACCACCACAAACTCCATCTACTACTATTCTCTGTACTGGACTGAAGAAGCCACTGGCTGGCAAAACATTTCCTCAATAAAGACTTCCACATGCTGCTCAAGTCTCTCATTCCACAAGGCAGAAATGTCAGAAAATGCCTCCAACAACCCCTGGACAGGCACCTGAAGTCAGCACTTGACCATCCGGGCTGTGGTTCATACGTTGGTTTACGTGCTGCCAGCAGTAACAACTTGGTTGATCAGACCCTGATCCACCATGAGGCCTGGTCACAGACCGGACCACAGGGGTGTTGATTCCCGAAACCCTCTCTAGGTATACCTCCCATACCCTGGCATTATACGAGATTTATGGATATAGTACAGCCTTAGGAAGTGTTTACAGTAATACAGAAAAAATAATTACTGCAAATCTAGAATACAATTGTCTGTTGTGAAAATTAGTTATTTAAATTCTGTTTTAAAGGTTAATTGATTATGTTGTGTATTTTCAGTTTGACAAGATGGTTAAAAATTATTATGGGGAGCAGTAAACTCGTAGGGATTATATAATGCCTGTGGGGAGGGGATTATGGAAGACACTCCGACTTAATTCAGGGACCTGGAGCACAGATCCAATTCCCTAGATCAAGACCCTCCCACCAGCATCAAGGAACTTCCTTGAGGGGCTCTTGATCTAGGGAATTGGATCTGTGCTCCAGGTCTCTGAATTAAGCCTGAGTACCTTCCATCTCCCCCCCCCACAGGCATAATTATAATAACGAGGGGATGGTTACAGGTGTAGGTTAAACCTTCACATCAGTTGACATGGATGGATTACCATTTATAGGGAATATCCCTAGTGGTTACTTAACCTTGCGAATATTAACAGTCACGAGATGGTGTGGTGTAGCCCCAGGTAGTCAGAACGAGGTACAGTAAGTCCTTGACCTACAAACACATTGGGGACCTACTGAATTGTGTATAATATTCATAATACAGGAAATCTTCAACTTATGAACATGTTGGGGACCTTTTGTATCATGTATAATAATAATATACAGTGGACCCCCGGTTAACGATATTTTTTCACTCCAGAAGTATGTTCAGGTGCCAGTACTGACCGAATTTGTTCCCATAAGGAATATTGTGAAGTAGATTAGTCCATTTCAGACCCCCAAACATACACGTACAAACGCACTTACATAAATACACTTACATAATTGGTTGCATTGGGAGCTGATCGTTAAGCGGGGGTCCACTGTACTTACACAATAATAATAACGATATACACAGTACAGAAGATCATGAATGTGTTTGTAAAATGAGGATTTGCTATACTTATTCAACGAGTGCTGAAAAAACCCTAATGACAAAACCAGACCTTATATTAAATACGATGGTTTGCTTACACTAGACCTTATAAAATATATTTTATAAAGCCTCTCAAAGACTAGCTGTCATATATAATAAAGTTTGTGTGTCTGATTTACACACCTTTTTCCAACACCGAGCGCGTATCATTGTTACTAACTGCAAACAAGCACTAGCATTTATTAAGGTTTTCGTAGGCTTCGAGATTTTTTTCCAGCAAAAGGGCCCCTCAGGGAAGGTTCCTTGATGTTGGTGAGGGGCTCTTGATTTAGGGAATTGGATCTGTGCTCCAGTTCCCCAAATTAAGCCTGAATGCCTTCCACATCCCCCCCCCCAGGCGCTGTATAATCCTCCGGGTTTAGCGCTTCCCCTTGATTATAATAATAAATCCAGTAAAAGGAGTGATGATATTCAACTTAATATAACTCGTGCATTATTATATGCGGTGATGAATACAAGTTCATTCGGAGTCGTATGCAACATGACAGACAAGCGTAAATAACCTGACTTAATTATGATTATAAAACCTCACTACAGGACTCGCATTTGATTGTTGAAGATTAGTAAAGTCTTGACCTGATATTTAAATTTTTCTTCGAGGTTGAATTATTATTTTCTCGGTTAATTATGTTGATAAATGCATTGTTATTTTGTGTGTATGTGGAAAGTTCACTTTCTTGGGTAGAGATTGGTTAAGATAAGATTTCGGTCGGATTTTTAGCCCTGGAGGGTTAGCCACCCCGGATAGCCCAAGAAAGTCAATGCGTCATTGAGGACTGTCTGACTTATTTCCATTGGGGTCCTCAATCTTGTCCCCCAGGATGTGACCCACACCAGTTGACTAACACCCAGGTACCTATTTGCTACTAGGTGAACATGGTAACAGGTGTAAGGAAATGCATAAAAATGTTTCTACCCCACTGGGAATCAAACCCGGGCCCTCCATGTGTGAAGCGAGAGCTTTGCCAGCCAGGC